GTAACGAGAAAGAATAAACTAGTTTTAATTAAGAAAAGACTTGTATCGCTGAAGCTCGGAAATAATTTGTATGGGAAATTAACAAACGACCAGATATGTAACAATATATATATATATATATATCCGGCTACTCACTTAAGCACGACATTGCCTTCTTGTGCGAACACATAGTTTAATAACCAGTTATATCGTAAATAAATGCCTTATAATGTATTTGGTAGAATGAGAATATGTTCATAAAATCTTTGTAACTCATCCAAAGAATAAAAACAATTCTTAAACTTATAAGAACTTCTTTCCTGCGATATCTAGTGTTATATTTTGGAAGTGGAAAGCCTTTTCTATCAGTTATTTTCTAAGCGTCAAGAAATAGCACTCTATTAGAAAATAGAGTTAAAATTGCACAGTTATTTCGCTTACTTTAACATAACAGAGCTTTTTGTCAAAGGCTGAAAATATCGTTATCAGTCAGGATAATCAACTGGTGAAACAATGCATTCTAATCGTTATAAGTAAGAATGTAAACAATTAAACTGATTTTTAGCCTGGTTTGATATGAGATTAATTTTAATTAACGTATGAAATTTATTAGCCAACTTCAATCATGTGAACCACATATTTTTTATGAGAAGACAGCGTGCAATCTTGTTTAATAAAAAAAGTCCAAACTTACCAAGAAGAACTAACGTTTTCCTTTTAAATGCAGGTACCAGAACTACTTCTTCGTATGTAGGTACATCTAATTGATCAAAGATGGCGCTGTACTTTGCCAAATACTTGTCACGAAAATGCTTCTTCTTTCGGTTAAATATTGAACAAGTAACTGATAAAAACAACAAAAAAGTTTATTAAGTAATTAACTCTTTTAATGTTTATTTCAGATGTCTTGAAGACAACATTACCCTCCCCCTACAGGAAAAAAAAACAAATTTATTGTAATAAATCTTTAAAATTGTGTTGTACACTTATATTCTAGCATGGATTTTTACTTAAGATGAATTACTTATTTCTAAACTTGCCCCTTAATAGCTGAGCGGCTGACAAACTTGAAGACTTATAACACTAAAAAAAAATTGGGATTCGATACCCACGGTTAGCACAGTGCAGATAACTAATTATGTTAAACACACATAAAGAGTTCTAAATGTTGGGACCATTTAGGTGAGAAAAGTGTATCGATACATGTTTAACAGTTAGCACAGGTGAAGTTTTTAAAATCTATAACAGCACAAGAAACAAAATAGTGGAAATAAAAAGATTTAAAATAATATTTCTATGCTTGTATTTGAACTGAATAAGGAATAATATTTAAACCTTATATTTCGAAATATAGTCAAATTTTCTAATCCGTCTTGTTCGTGTTCTGAAGTTTATTTACGAATATTTTTATTGAACGTTGTATAGTTTTACACGTTGTCTCAGCGTACAAAATATTTTGATGACTTAAGTCTCGTTCCTGTGCAAAACAATACCATGTTTTTTATTTCATTTGTACCGATACAACACCTAGCAAAAAAACAAACAAAAAAACTACGTATTTGGAAAATAACTCAGTATAATAACATTGGATTTCTAAGCGCCTACCTTGATCTGATTTTGTTTTTTGCATCGCAAGACAGGCCATTCTCCATTCCTGCAGCTCAGGTGAAGGTATAAGTCCTGCTCTTTCATTGGCACTTTCCTTTTTGGCTTGCCACCAGTTGTGGTCGTCCTTACTAATAACTTGTAGAATGTCGCCTATCTGGAATGCCACTCCAGCCTGTGGACAAGGGATCAAGTCGTCGTCGTAGGGGTTATAGCAAAACTGAGCATGAACATAAATCTAGAGGGTTTGAAAATTGAGCTACATCAAAAGCAAAGTAAAAAAAATAAAATAAAGTCAATAAGTAGCTATATTATCAGAATCCATTCTCACACACATCTGCCTTTTGACATCAACGAGAAAAAAAAATGAAAAACGTAAAACATAAAAAAATGTAGTCCATCTCTGATAAAGATTTATAGCAGACTGTATGTTAATATATTTTAAACTTTTATGCACTTGTCGGTTAAAGGATCAAATGATTTATGTAACCGGGATTTCCTACAACAGTCTATGTATTTTTACAAGATTGCGAAATGAAAAGAGAAACAAATAGTTCATTTATTATTATTATTGTTTTTTCAAAGACTTGTCAGTGATGACAAATCTCATTAAATTAAAAGTTGACGAAAGAAATAGATTGCATCTGTGAATAGACTAATCAGCTGCGTGGGAGAGCGTCTTGAAACGCTGTATAATTTGACTATACCTTATTAACTTCGTGAATTTTCGAGCTACAGTGATATTTCAATTGGTTATGTTAAGCATTATGTCAAAAAGAGTTTGCAGGAAGTTATTAGCTCAATATATGCTGTTTAGTTCTTACGTATTTAAGGAGTCGAGCGAAGTTCCTCGTATAGATTTGATCCAATTTTTTGGCCTGGTGGTTAGGGCGCTCAATTCACGATCTACAGGTCGCGGGTTCGAATTCCCGTCACCAAATATGCTCGCTCTTTCAGCCGTGGGGACGTTATAATGTGACGGTCAATTCCATTATTCGTTGGTAAAAGAGTAGCTCAAAAGTTAGCGGTGGGTGGTGATGACTAGCTGCCTACCTTCTAGTCTACCACTGTTAAATTAGGGACGGCTAGGCAGAAAAAAAACTCGTGTAGCTTTGCGCGAAATTCAAAACAAATCAAACCAATTTCCTGTTCAACCTACGTGACAAAATTATATATACATAAATCTTTATGTAAACTGTTTATAATTTAAAAATAGGAAAAAAAAATCCATACCAGCCACTGTTTATGTTGTTACTAACTAGTCTTCACATCAACGAACAGTCGTTCATAATTTAAGTCAGTATTTATTTGTACTCAACATCGTACACCAGGGATTGGGACTGTTCAGGAATACCGTACTACGGAGAACTCTATTATACTAAAGGAAACTGAGAAAATAATTTTTCCCTAATTACATAATCACTTTGAGAAATGTGATCATTACGCAGCAGTAGAAGAAAAACGCATTTCCCCTAAAAATGTTGACTGCCTAATACCATGTGAGAGACGAAGTGATAAGTCAGTTCGAATATAACCGATTTTATTGGTGCTCCATAAGATTCGCTTTATTTAACAATTTGCACTTTCGGCAACTAGGTTTGAGGTTTTGTGCGACGAGCCATATGCTAGTATGATAAAGTTTGATCATTTTCTTATTTCAATTTTCATGCACAGCTCCACGGAGTTAGCTGTGATTGTGTATAGTTTAAGCAGCTAGTTTGTGTTTATCTTTTGCGGCATTTCAGTCCTATTTCTACCGAATTATACGTTAAGTTGAAGGTGGAACCTGGTCATTTCATTCTTTCGTACGTGTTTTTTTTTTTATAGTGAACGCTGCATCACATTAACGATAAGACTGCTTAAAATATCAGGTTTGGATAGATAGCAATGAAAACATGAACAGGATCTACTTCTACATAGTTGTTTAAAACTATATAAAGAGATTTATGACATCCTTATTGTTTTCATAAGAGTTGTCACCATAAAGTCATTTGATACTATAACGAAAGGGAACTTTTCCACAATTTCCAAAGGTTAAATCTTGCCTTTACGGGTACTCATAGCCGAAATTGAATTGCCGGGTAATGCAGCGCACAGTCAACTACTCAACTTGTCGTACAGCTGGGTTACTTCAATATAGGGTGCTCGACTCGCAATCTGCGGGTCGCGGGTTCGAATCCCCCTCACACCGAACATGCTCGCTCTTTTAGCCGTGGGGGCGTTATAATGTGAAGGTCAATTCCACTATTCGTTGGTAAAAGAGTAGCCCAAGGAGTTGGCGGTGGGTGGTGATGACTAGCTGCTTTCCCCCTAGTCTTACACTGCTAAATTAGGGACGGCTAGCGCAGATAGCCCTCGTGTAGCTTTACGCGAAATTCAAAACAACCAACCAACCAACTTCGATATAGATAGACATATTAATGCAATTCTTACATTTTGGGTTCTATCATAATTTTCTTGAACTTGCTCGTTACATTTTTTTTTTAGTTTGTCTGCCTACTGAAATCGACTGTTTTTAAATCACCAGTGAAGGTTAAAGCTGCCATGACTGTCACAATTTATTGATACCTGAGAAATGTAAAGACGTCAAAAGGTAAGGTACTATTTTACATAAAGTTACCCATCATATTCACATTTAAGCGAGGAGCAACTCCGATTAGCAGCGCAAAATTGATTAAATCCTCTTGTTTGACTGCCTTATTGACTATTTATCAACATCCAAAGCTCACGATGTGTGTGAAAACGCTTAATGTAATTATTCAGTGATGTTAACTACTTCCAGTCTCGACACCAG